CAAAGCCCCTAGAGAAAAGCTAAAAACTATTCCCTACATCAAAAACATTGCCCAAATAAAAACCAAAACCAAGGGCTACATATCATAGTCGAACCTAGATAAACATACACCAAAGCTGGTAAAATAAAATTGAAACCAAACCCAAGAATTGATAACCAACAACCATATTTAGAAGCTAAATTCTAGGATAACCAACTGAGCTTGTGTGTGATAAACTGCATCATGAACCTGCTGGTGTTTGTAGCCTTGTTCTTCACTGCCTTCCTTGCATTGCTTCGGTTAGGACTGCCCAGGTTGTACTGGTTTGTCCATGGAGCTGTAATGGTTAAGTGCTGATGAATAGAACACAACCCATAGAATGATCCCCCCAAACAATAGAAGTTTCCCAAGTAACACTACAACTGAACATTTGACATGTAAAAGCTTCCAAACCAGAACTACTATGAGACTCAGCTCCCTGATCCAAAAGAAAAGGTAAGTTCAATCCAAACAAAAAGGTGCAAGTAAGATTTCTCAATTTCCCTTCACTAAATACTAAGTATCAATTTCAAGTTAGATTAAAGCCACTTATCTATCATGCTAGAGGATCCAAAGGCAAACATCCTATATCGGGTTAAAAAAAGTATGTCGAGCATCTGCAACAATCTATGAGAACCAAACAGAGTGATAAGGTCGAACCTAGCATAGAACCAGGCCCAAAGCCATGACGAAGAACAATTAGCACTGTCACCGCATCTAGAAAATCATCTGTCAGAGTATACTGCCAAACCACAGAATAAAAGCTCTTCTCTAAACATCAAAATTTAGAAGATTGCAAGAGTTGATTATCGTTATTACATAATATAATATACTCTGTAATTTAAAATCAATCCCTATTTGGCAGCATTTAAACAAAATATATAACCCAGAAGAAGAAAAGAGCTATGCAGACAAAGGCTTCAAGGCTGTAACAGAATCTGTCCAAGTTTCTGAATGCTAACTCCCACTCTGACAGGGCTAGAGTCTGATGCATATGGCTTTCCAATACATGGAGGTTTTTAGGACAGGATTGCAGTTGAACCATAAGGAAAAAAGAAACATTAAATCGAACCAAATACTTAAGAATAGCCAGTGTATCGGACCATAATGAAAAAAGAAACATTAAATCGAACCAAACATTAAATCCAGTGTATATGGTCAAGGCTGAATTGGAAGAACACAAGAAACAAGAATAGCCAGAAACTCAGTAAATGAACATAAATGGCTTTCTAAAGAAGATGCATGCACCAGAGTCTTAAGGAAGATAATATGAAGCCATACCTGAACTTATACTCTACTCAAATAAAATTGCCAAAATTTGTTTTTAAAACCTACTATAAAACTAGTAGGTGTGAACAAAATTTGATTCTTTCATATTTTTTAGATAAAAAAATTTATTAAAAAAACTGATCTAAAAGTATATCAATAAAAAATCAAAAATCAAATTGAGGTAACAAAAATTAAGCAAATAAATCCACATAATTGAACAATTAGAATAATTTCAATCACATAATTGAAATTATTCAGAGTACTTTCAAGAGATATGCAAAGAAATTCACATAATTGAACCATTGGAGTAATTTCAAGATAAAGTAAAACCTATAAATTGGAGGTAGTAGAGATTGGGGTTGTGATGTTGGCTTCACACGGCGGCTGAGGCAGGCATATGCACCGTCGATAAGTGGGATGGACCGGGATCGTGGTACTCTATGAAGATCGGAAGACCACTGCCCGGTGTCGAGGCATCGACGAAGAAGATAAGAACGACGGCTCAAAGGAACGACGAAGTGGCGAGAGATAGGTTTTTTTTGCGGATAATGAAAATATTAGGCGGGCAATGAAAAATCTGGAGGGATTCTAAAATTTGAGATGAAGCCTTAAATTTTTAAGAATATTAACTAGATCTGATTGACAAGTATAGATTTGGAGGTAAACTTTAAGAATATTAAAATTGTATAGAAAATTGACAAGTAATTTGATTTTTTTGAAGACTAGATCTGATATTATTGGATTTGAATTTGATTTGATCCGATTAGATCTATTTTGGTCTGATTCAATCTAATTAGATTCGATTTGAAATTGATTTTTTTAATATTTGATCAGATCTTACTAGATATGAATTTGATTTGATATTTTTGAAGATTATATCTGATCTTATTAGATTTGAATTTTATTTAATTTGATCTGTTTTGGTCTAATTCGATCTAATTTAATCTGATCTTATGCATTTATAGATTAAATCAGGCAATCAAGACACGACCTATATAATTAATTTGTTTTTTTTTGAAGATTTGATCTGATCTTAATAGATTTGAATTTGATTTGATCTGATCAAATCTATTTTGGTCTGATTCAATCTAATTAGATTTGATATGATGTATTTAAAGATTAGATCAAGCAAATATGACACGACCTATACAATTAAATTGATTTTTCTTAATATTTGATCTGATCTTACTAGATCTGGATTTGATTTGATTCAATATTTTTGAAGATTAGATCTGATCTTATTGGACTTGACTTTGATT